AAAAGCACTTTATACTTCATAGTACCACCCCTTTGTGTTAAGAGGGGGGAGAAAAGCCATTTGTGGCAATTTATTTTTAGATATTGATCATCTTTTCTTGCTGCAAAGGGAATAAAAATAATTAAAGTTGAGTGAAAAATAATTTGAAGCACAGCATATTTCAAAGCATAACTATCATCATAACTGTTCAGATGAGATTTCTTAAAAACCTGGTAATAAATGTGTGCCCTAGATACTTTTTAAAAAATCAATATTCTTTATATTGGCCTCTTTAACTGGCAGCTTAAGTTTAATTCCTGTCTTCATAAATGTCATACAATTCCAAACAAATGGACTGATTACCATGTATATAAAGACTGAATTAGATGATCAGATGGACATTAACTATTTGTAAGTTACGTAATTCACATCAAAATATAATTTAAATATTTGTCTATGCTGTGGTCTTTTCTCAAAGCAACATTTCTCCAATGTACACAACATTCATTTTGAAAAAAATTCTGATAACTCAAATTCATTTTAGGAAATTGAAAAAATTCAGAAAAGTAGAGTCTAAATTAATTGAGCTACATTCCTATTGCTACTCTGGGTAGCAACAGACCACAGAGCCTAGAAAATTTTAGTGCTAAAATGACATAACATAAAAGTAGAACAATAGATTATTTAAGAGATGATACATAAGTACTAACGTATTATGCCTATAATTAAATTTGCTCCAAAAGATATGTTCTGTTAGCATTATAGATATGTACAATGTTTCAGAAAGATGTAGTCACTATCACTGTAGGCTTGAAAAATGGTTATGAGGATCAGTACTCTCATTTTAACTAATGAATAGAGATGTAAAATGATGATTATTTCTGAAGTTCTTTACATTAAGAGCAGAAACAAAACTGAAGGTTTACATGAGAGAGGAAACAAAAATGAGTAATAATTCAAGCATTTAATTTCAAAGGAGAGAAAAGAGCATGTACAAATTGAAGGGAATAACATTGTTCAGGTTAATTTATCTTAACAAATATGAAAAAGTATCTACAATGTCACCTACTATATTTTAAAATTAGTAAGAAAGTGTTTCTGCCTTTGAGTTCATAATCTAATGAAATGAGAAAATTATTATTCATAGCCACACATGACAACAAATTATAAAGTCAACAAAGGAAACAAAATGGAATTGTAAAAAAAATAATTAACATATATATTTATGTCTCAAGAATAGATAGGAAAAGTAGAGGACAAACAGTAAAGTACTATTTGTAATTCCAACCATATCAATAATACCATTAAATATAAACAGCCAAAAGAGGGGGAATGGTACAATCAGTTTTGGGAAATTGGAAAAGTTTCACAAATGAAATTGTACTTCCTAATAGTTTTAAAACTGGGACATAATTTTAATAGTCAGAGATAAACAGATAAATGGGGTATATTCTGCAGAGGTGTCAACATAAAAGAGAAACCTTAAGATCTACTTTACTGATGATATGTCATTCACATGACCTAGACTACAATTAAGATGCCTAGGAGTACTAGAAGATAAAACCAAAGTTATGCTAGAATCATATGTTGATCCCTTTGAATTTCAAAGAGAGAAGTGTGTAATCAATTTGGAAATAGTGGAATATTGATGAAAGTGACAAAACTGGAGCATGGATTTGGGAATGACTAATCTGAAAGTGATTGTTTATATAGTTACTTACTTTTATATTTAAGTAGATTAAATCAGGATGTCATAAAACATAGTTTCTTAAGAGAATTTGCATCTAATATTTCCTTTAAAGTATAACAAAAAGACGTAATTAAAGTAAGAACTGAGACTTTGCTCCAGGTCTAAGTTGGGATGGAGTAGGCAAGGCAAGAATAAAGAATAGCCATGTACAGAAGTTTTTGTACGAAACTATCTTAAAGGTGAAACACTGAATAGGAAATGTGTTGGAAAAATGAGAATCAGGTAGAAGTAACTGTGACAAATGTTATGACCATTAAATTAAAAAAAAAACACAGAGGTAATGTAGAACAGAATGTTCTAAGAATGGCATGGAATCTCTTCAAGACAGAGTATACAGTGGATAGAGGGTACAGAAAGTCTTTCTGTATTCTGAGTACATGTGCAGTATTTTAATAATTCCATGTTTGACTAAAACCGAATGTACCTAAAATTCAACCTGTAAAAGCATTCTTTCTATTTTACCTAATGTTTCCTGACCTGTAAATAACAAAATTTAAACCTATTTCTATCTTAAAATAAAATTCTTAAAGAGAATGTTGAGCTAAACAGTGCAGCTATGAAAAGGTCCTTTTGAGAAAATAAATAAGTCTCTAGGAGCAATATAAGAGTGGGTTTTGTTTTCTATAAAGTAGTTGTCAATAGCAGGCATTCATACATTCCAGAAATAAGAAAAACTGAATCACTTCTTAGTTAGATGGTAGGTTCTTATAACTGCACAATGTGTGGGCTAGTCACATCTGACATAAACTGTACTTCCATAACTGTTGATGTCTCTACAGAAGTTCTTAATTCACCAAAAATGATTTCAGCTATTTTTCTCAAGAGTTGAAGATTAGTGACAAAGGTATGTTCTGCTACCTTTGAGTCCTAGAAATAGAAACACTCCACTTTTGACTTCAATCTATATATGAGTTAAAAGGAAGGTAACTTTTTTTAAAGATCATTTTGTTTATCCCTTTTTAATATGGTAAAACATTAAATAGATATGAATTAAGTAACAATAAAATCGCAGATACTCTCCTTCAGGATTTCCAAGAAAACTTACATGTGCCATTTAGAAGTACAGTCTTGGTTTACAAATCAACAAAGTATCAGCATATTACTCAAAAGTAAATCTTAAACTGATTTCTAGCTCCAGATGTCCCAAGGAGACACAAAAAATTAAAATCACCTACTTTCATACCATAAAAATACTTAAAATTATTTTGAAGTTAACATCACATTGATTGGTTTCTTATAGGAATAACAATGCTTTTGTAACAATGAGTTTCCTTTCTATATAAAATATTGAAATTATCAAATTGTTAATTCTTTGGCTTAATTTCATAGCATGTCAATTGTCTTGTGTCTCATATATAAATAAAAAAGCTTAAATATTATACATAATATGGGTAGCACAGATTTTATCATGTAATGACATTAATAATTACTGTTATTATTATTTATACATAGATTACTACTGATCACATACCCAATATTAAGATGCTATGAATAATTATGATGTAAATGCCATGTACCCTTTAAGTCGAATTTCTTTCTCTCATAGTAAAAAGAAATTAATAATCTGTTATCCACACCCTAAATCTCTGATCAAATTTAATGCCTCAAAAAAGTGAAGCTTTAGGAAATAGATTTTTAAAGAAATGCTACTGATAATTCAGTACAAAAAAATTGTCCATAAATTATATTATTGTCTCCATTTCTGTGCTCTAGATCAGTGTATGAAAACTGGCAAACATGCAGGTTCCTGGGCCCTGCTTATAGTACATTTGAAGTGGTTCTAAGAATCCGAATTTCTAACACGTTTCCATGTGATGACATTACTACTGGTCCCACTGGAATAGCATTGTTCTAAAAAAATGTTTCAGTAAATTATGGCTCATGTGCCAGATTTGACTTGCTGTCTATTTTTGTAAAACAATTTTTATTGTAACATTAATTCATTCATACCTGTCTGGCTGTTGGTGTTCTATAAGAGAGGTAAGTAATTCTGGCAGATAACTATACGGCTTATAAAGACTTAAATGGCTCTTTACAGAAAACATTTGCTAACTTTTTCCCCAAAATATTACTCTTCTCTCCATCACCCATTGAGATCTTTGAAACCCAGAAACTAAGTTTATTGCTATCAAAATTGAAGTGTAGAGTTAGACTATTAGGGTACTTCAAAGCTAATAAAATATTTACCATCTTTATGAATGTCTCTTTGGCTAACATCTCACTGCCATGATTTAATTCTGATGAATGCCTGACATGTTCCACAATTAAAAGTCACAAAGTTAATCTCCACGCTAAAATAAAAAAAGTGTGAAAACCTGTAGTTTCTTATATAGGGTACAAATAAAATCTGTACAGTACAACAAAAATATACTGAAGGATTTATGTCTCCATTAGTAAAAATTTCTTATTTCTTAGAGAAAATAGAGCCAATATAAGAAAGTTACAATTATCCCTGGTCATGAAGGACAAGCAGAATGATAAATTAAACCACCAGTTTCCCTAATTTAGTTAATAATTTTTTATCATCTTACATTATCCTCTGCCATCCCTATATCTCCGTCATTGGTAATAGTATTCTGAGAAAGCAGCAGCAGCAATAAACTGACATAAGATTTATAAAGAGTGGTGGTTACAGGCCTGAGACCTCTCAGAAGTATTTTTTATTAGATTTAAACATTTTTGCAGAATATCTAGTAGTCAATTCACTTCAGTTTCTACAATTTCTCTCTGTCTTACATCAGGATTGACTCAAACATTTACATTAGCTTCTGGACTCCTGAAGGCATTTGATTTTGGGATTCCTGGCTTAGATGATATCCAAAGTAAAAAAAAAGTTCAGGTAGTTATATCATTATTAAAAGCTATTACATATATTTGTTTATATGGGCATAAATAAATGAAACCAATAGTGTTTTAGAGTAAAAATCCGAGACTATAATCTAAATGGGGTAATTCCATTTTACAAAAAGCAACAGAGTTTAGTCACCCACATGCTAAGTGTGAGATGAATAGACATTATGACCTTATTATAATAATTTATTTCAAAGTTAAAATTATTTTTATATCTTCAGATAAACAAAATCCCTATTTATTGAGCCATATGCATAGTTTTCCAATAAATAACGATATATTTGGTTTCCTTAGAACATTTGTCTTTGATTCAGAAACTTTGAAACCACTATTTTACAAGCTCTTGGTAAATAGAATACTGTCATTATTAAAATATGAAATTGCTAAGAAATTAACAGAAGGAAAGTTTGTCAGCTAATACCTGTTGCACAATTGTTGTTAATTCCAAGCAGAGCTGTATGACATTGTTCCTTGTAACTGAATAGTCTGTCACAGCAGCAAATGGTGACCTACAAAGAGAAATGGAAAATTGTGATTACTAGGAATAGCTTTTCAAAAGTACCAAAATGCAATAGCCCAAGATAAGATTTTGAATAATAAAAAGTGAATTGTTCTAAAGCTTGCATATTAATAAAATGATATTTGGTATTTTATTTAAAGAAAAACATTGTATGGAAAATAATCAAATTCTAGAAAAGTAATATTTGTTATCAATTTCCCAATTTTAAAGTTCTTAATACTTAGAACTTCTTTAATACTTCTTTCTTCTTTTAAGGTCTCTTTATTACATCTAATCAAAACAACAAAAAGATATGTGGGTTTGGGTATGTAGCTGAGTGGCAGAGCACTTGCCCAGCCTGTAGGAGGCCTAGGGTTCTATCCCCAGCACTTTCCCCCCACAAAACCAAAAAGGAATATTAGGCAAAGTCAATATTTTTGTTCACTTTCCAAAGAAGCTAAGAATTTAAGTACAGCATCTGCTCGAAATGTTAACGATTATGAGCTAATGTTTACTGAAGGCTTAGTATATGCCAGTTACTATTTAAATGTTACACATACACTAAATAACTTACTCTCCGCAATAACTCTTGGGCGATAGGCACTATTATTATTCCCATTTTACAGTTGAGAAAACAAAAGTAGAGAAAAGTTAAATGACTTATTTATATTCACACACCTAGGAAGTAGTGTTCAAACTCATGAGTCTGACTCCAGAACCCATCCTCACACTTGGTTAAACACTAACACACAGTGACTCTATGAATTTACCTAGGTTTTATTTTGAGCTAATGTTACTCACGTCTATTTTGGAACAACTTTGTGTTCTTTCTTGTATTTGCTTTGCCACTAAACAAATTCACAATGGTTTTTCAATACTCCTTATCCTCTCTTGTCTGTTAATGTCATCAGGCTTTTTTTGGAGGACAAAGCTTAAATGACTGGGGAGGCCCAGTTTAAGGAAAAGAAAACAAAACAAAATCATGACTGTAAAGAAGGTATGGACGTAAAAAATTAACAAATTATTGGAACCTTGGTACTTTCAAATGAGATATTTCAGGCAATTCACTAGAAATACTCAGAGCTGCTTACTGGTCACAAACTGAATCTGACTCCTTTCTAGAAAACTCAACAACTGAAACACCTCCCAATCTCAAAGGGGTCCATATAAGAGAGAGGTTCGTTATCAGGTAGATTTTTAAAAAATATATAATATACATATAAAATTTGGCCATTCTAACAGCTATGTAGTAGCATAACATAATAGTTTCAATTTGGATTTCTCTAATGGTTATCCATATTTATATTATACATAATCTATATCTTAATAGTTTTTATACTTTCCTAGTAATTATCTCATAGTTAATGATGTTAGATATCTTTCATGTGCATATTTGCTATCCATATATACTTCTTTGGTAAAATATCTGTTTAAAAACTTTGCACATTTTCTATTTGGATTATCAGCATCCTTACTACTGAGTTTACAAAGTTCTTAATACATTTTACAGGCAAGTCTTTTATTGAACTGATTTGTAAATATTTCTTCTCAGTCTGCAGTTGGTCTTTTCATCCTCTTAACAGGGTCTTTAGCAGTAGATGAAAAGTTTTTAATTTTGATTAGGTCAAATACATTGAAAACATTTTCCTCTTGATTGTGAGTTTACTATCATCTAAAAAATCTAAATCAAGCTTTATTTCTTAAAGTTTTACAGTTTTATTTTTTACATTTAGCATCTCCCAATACCAAAGGTGTCCATATAAGAGAGAGGGTCTTTGTTAGCTAGATTTTTAAAATAATATTTTTTTTTCTCTCTATATATATATATTTTAAATTTTGGCCATTCTAATAGCTATGTAGTGGCATAACATCATAGTTTTAATATGGATCAATTTTGAGTCAGTTGTTGTATAAGATGTGAGGTTTAAGTTGAAGATTACCTTTCTTTCTTTTTTTTTCTTTTTTTGCTATCCAAGTATTCCAGCAAAATTTCTTGAAGACTACCATGACTACCATTCTCCACTGAATTGCTGGCACCATTCTCGAAATCCAGTTAACCATACTTATAAAGTTATAGTTCTGGGCTCTGTCTATCCTGCTACCCATATTACGGTTTTGATTGATTACTGAAACTATATGACTTAAAATGAGCTAATTTCTTTAAAAATAATTGTCAAAAAGTCAAGTTTTTTTTTTCAAAATTGATTAACTATTATAGTACCTTTGTTTTTCAATATGAATTTTAGAATTAGATTGTACTTACAAAAATCCATCTGGAATTCTGATGTTTCACCAAACCTACATGAAAATTTGAGAATTTAACATCTTACTAACTTGAGTCTTTTAATTAATGAACATGGTATGTCTCTCCATTTATTTATGACTTTGATTTCATACATCAGTGATTTTCAGTTTTCACATATAGATCATGTAGGCACTTTTGCTAAATTTATAGTCATCTCATTATTTTTGAAGTAACTATAAATTATGCTGCTTTGAAATTTAGTTTGCAAATGTTCATCACTACTATGTGGAAATATGATTGACCTTTGTATGTGTAATTTATATCCTACTATCCTCAATATTCCCTAGTTCTAAAAGACAGTTTTTGTAGAATTCTTTGTATTTTCTACATAAAGATTATTTACAAACAGGCAAAGTTTTACTTCTTCCTTTCCCATCTTTATACCATTTCTTTCCTGCTATACTGGAGAAGATTTGCAATATGATATTAAGTAGAAGCCGTGAAAGTAGACACTCTTGCTTTAGAAGAGAAGCAATGATTATTTCACAAAATAGTATAAGGTTTGTTATATACGTTTTATATATGCTTTTTATCAAGTTTAAGATATTCTACTTTACTACTTGCTAATATTTTTTCTCATGAATAGGTATTTTGTGAATTTTTTCCCCACATGAACTGATATGATCATGCAATTTGTATTCTTTACCTCACACATGATTAGTTTCATTGTTTGAAGCAGATCTAGAAACCTAAAATAAATCCCACTTAGTTGCAATGTATATTTCTATTAATGTATAGTTGGATCTGGTTTTCTAACAATCTCTTGAGAATTTTAACTTCTAAGTTCATAAGAAATTTTGGTTGTCATTGTGGCTGTTGTTTGCATTGTCTTTTGAAATCAGGATAACGACTGCCTCATAAAATGAGTTGGGAAATTTCCCCTCTATTTTTTGGAATAGATGGTATAGAATTGATGCTCTTCCTTCATTAAGCAGATTCAATTCACCAGTAAGATCACCTGGACCTGGAGATTTATTTTCTTCACCCTAAAGAGTACTGCGGTCCCCTGTTTTCCATAGTTTCACCTTCTGTGGCCTCAGTAAGCCACAGTCTACCACAGTTCAAAAATACTAAATGGAAAATTCCAAAAATAAACAATTCATAATTTTAAATTAAATGCCACTTTGTGTGCAAAACTGTGCACTGTCCTGTTCTGTCCTGCCTGAAATGTGAATCATCCTTTTGTCCCTTGTATCCATACTATATAAACTATCAACCATTAGTCATTTAGTAGCCATCTCAGGTATGTGATAAACTGTCTTGGGTATTTGTATTCAGGAAACCTACTGTACGTAGTAATCTAATGGAGCATCACATTATCTGTATCATTGCTCTCTGTTAATCTCATCACAAAGCAATGTATTATCTCATATCTTCACAAGAAAGGTTAGTACAGAACAATAAATTATTTTAAGAGGGAGAGAGACCACATTCACAAAATTTTATTATAGTATATTTTTCTAAATTTTCTATTTTGCTATTAGTTATTGCTGTTAATCTCTGCAATAGTTTGGATATGAGATATCCCACAAAATTTCCTGTGTCATGCAGAAATATTAAGAGGTAAAATAATCTAAGATTTTGAGAGCTGTAACCTAATCAGTCCATCCTAGTTTGAATGGACTGACTGGATGGTAACTATATGCAGGTGGAGCATGGCTAGATGTGTTGGATCACTGGGCACGTGCCCTGGAAGGGTTCATCTTCCCTACGGCCCCCTCCCCTCTTTCCTTTGCTTTCTGACCAGCCATGAATGAAGCAGCTTTCTTTCACTGAGACCCTTCCCTATGATGTGCGGTCTTACTCTGGGCCTAGAGCAATGGAGTCAGCCACCTATAGATTGACACCTCTAAAATTGTAAGCCCCAAATAAATTTCCTTCCACTAAATTGTTGTTGTGGGTCATTTTGGTCATAATCATATAAAGATTAAATTAAAATTAAACTTTATTGTACATATCTATGAATTAAAAAAAAACAGTCTATTTAGGATTTGGTACAATCAGCAGTTTAGCAATCCACTGGGGTTCTCTAGCTCCTCCATGGATAAGGTAGGACTATTCTATAGGATTTTTCAGATTATGTATTTCAGCTTTAGTTAAGTCCTGGTAGTTTGTGTTTTTTAAGGAATTGTATATTTCTTAAAAACATGCTGTAGAATTAAGCTGTCAAATTTGTGCGCAAAGTTATTTGTAGTATTCCTGTATTAATCTTTTAATTTTGACAATTTCTCTACTGTGTTTTTTATTTCAGTGATTTATGCTCTTACCAGTATTAATTGTTCTTATTCTTGCTTTATGCTTATTTTGCTCTTATTTTTTTCTATTTTATTGTGATAGAAACTTAGGTAACTTGTTTGAAACTCTTTTTCTTCTCTGATATAAACATACAGTGCTATAAATTTCACTTTTAGCAGGGCTGTAAGTTGCATGCCATAAATTGTTTCGTTGTATAAAAATATTTTGCTCAATGTATTTTTTAATGTTCCTTAAGAATTCTCACTTGACTACTGGATTACTCAGAAGTATGGTGAGTTTTAGTGTGACTCCATTATCTGATTTCAATAATTTTAAGTTTATTGAAATTTGTTTTACAATGCAGATACAGTTTATCTTAATGAACTGTCTCTGGGCACTTGAAATACATTTGTATTCTGTTGAATGGAGTGCTCTAAAACTGTCAACTATATCCTGTTGTTTGGTGGAGG